TACCTAAATGTTCTCGATTTGATCCATGAGGAAGTCATAGATTCACACTATTGAGTAATACTGCACTTGGATAAAATAGCTTTTCATTGTCTTCTATGTTTAAATGATTTTCTACTTATGATCAATAAGCGGTGTAAACTATGGAAGTAGTATAATTTGAAGAATGTTCATATCAGTCTCAAGGGATCTCAATTTGGAAAGAATTCCAAGATCGGAACCATAAAAATAGACGAAGCAATACACAAATTCAAAGTAATAAAAGGGGAAAACAATGGCGTTACACTTAGTGACTAAGATCAATGTAGATTTACATGTAGAAAGTTATAATTTCATCGAGCAATGGTAGTGGTACCATAAATAATAATACAAATAATAAAGTGACTTTATCAATTAAGCGACAGAATTATAACAAGATTATTTCAGTACTTAAAAGCTAGTTAATAAGTAGAAACTGGTATCGTATGAATGTGAATTTATATATGAAAGAGTCTACAATTAATCATTAGTCTACAAATTTCCTCCTAACTTCATCTCTTTTAGTGTAAACGGACAAATAGCCTCTACAAATCAAATACATGTTGAATCGGAGAAAAAAAGTGTAGCTAATATTACTGAAGAAAAGTGTTAATCATGCTTTTCCTCTGTAAATATAAGTCCAATAGAACAGATATGTACCATATTATGATAAAAATTATGTTATATAACTATTATAGTGTCTTAGATGTTCCATCACGGATATATAATTCTGAACAATAAAGGGGGAAGTTTGAAAGTAGCTAAACCGAAACATGGCATTGATGAATAAGGTCAATGAATGTTGGTTTAAGCAATTCTAAGTGTCTTAAACTTTCTATTAAAAGTTTTAATTGTAAACAATGATCAGAAACTCAAGGCAACGTAGTTCAAAGCCGTTTGGAACGGTATCGATATAACTAATATATTCTATTCTTTGTACCTTAAAGTTCTTCATTATTTGATAAGGTTTGTTTTCATCCTATGGTTCCATTGTTTTAAAATGATATATTCTCTTTCTGTGAGTAGTCAATTATATTCCATCCTACTAACATATCAACTTCTCTAGTTTCAGTTTTTTTTAATTTTCTCTCATTAAACTCATGCGACTTATAATAATTTGTATCGGTTCACATTTATTGGATGATCTCTCATGTTGTTTATGACCAACCAATTAGCTTTGTTTCAATTTTCTGATATCCAATTAATCGTTTAATTATAATTCGTTATCAAAGAATAAAATGTTCTGACTTATGTAAAAAAAGTAATCTATAAACAAACCCCTTATCATATGCTTACTAGAGACTTGCTCCATGAGGTATTTCCTGGAGTTCTAGTGAGAAGCAGTAACCAGTGGAGTTCAAAACACATCACTTGTGAGATAGGAACTCACTGAAGACAGTTGGTGAACGGTTGCTCAATTTCGTGGATTGGTTGGAGTTAGACATAAATACCATTGGATGCCGGCTCAGTGGTCTATCGGTTAAGTGCTCTGGCGCGAGACTGGTAGGTCCTGGGTTCGAATCTCACGAGGCAGGATCGTGGATGCGCACTGCTGAGGAGTCGCACAGTACGATGAAACGGCCGTCCAGTGCTTGCAGGTTTTGTATGGCTGTCTAGCTTCAATTGACTCATGAATTTAACTATATAATCTATATGTGGTTCAGAATGCTTTTGATGAATTAACTGGGTTGTATATCATATCAAAAATCAGTTATTGTACTTGAATGTATTCTTCAGATAAATGTTTTTATTAACTTACATTAATCTTTTTTTTATATACATAGTGTGAAACGGAATTTTACCTCATAGCTCTCAACATTACCTAATAGGAATGCATTCAAAAGTTTGTATTATATCTTTCTTGTTCAAATTTAAGAAGCCATTTATACACTTGACAGTTAAGTTATCGCAAGCGAGACTGATAGGTCGTGGATTCGAATCTTACGAAGCAGGATCTTGGATGAACACTGCTGAGGAGTCCCACAATAGAACGAAACGGCCGTCCAGTGCTTCCAGGTTTTCCATGGTAGTCTAGTTTCAAGTGACCCACGAATTCAACTATAAAATTAAATATATACTTGTATAACAGTTCAATTTCAATGATGATACTCTATTTTAGCAGTCATTATTGTACATACTAGTATGTTCAGTTTTATCAAAAATTTATGAAGTCACCATATTAATGAAGGTCATATTGAATACCTCATCTAAGGAGCCTAAATACCGGTTACAAAACTGATTAACTTATTCATGATTGTTGACAATAACGTTACTGAAAGCTGTATATATATATATGTAGCTTTTATATTGCCTTATCAACAGACAGATTATTTGAGAAGAAACTAGTCAAGTATAAAATTTGATGGCTATTAGTTTTGCATGATTTAAAAATTGGCAATAATAAAATAGGGATTTATTATATTGAATAAATGAGCATTTAAATGAGTTTCCATTTTTTTCGGACAAATATTAATCGGCTAATGAAATTTCTGTTTATATATCATAGTATAAGTTAGTGTAACGGTATAAACGATAGTTAGATTATTCAAAAACTCGCTGAGAAATCGGCTTTTTAAAGGTGAATTTAATTAATTTTGATTTGAAGGACGTTTCCTGGGAGCGTTCTTAGACATATAAACTTACAAAAAATGATTTTCAGTGTCTTAAAATAATAAAACGTAGAAAATATTATAAGCAAAGATGGATAGTGGCTAACAGTGGAATCCAGTTTGACGCGCGTTACGTTTTATTTGGGACTCATCAGCTGGATGTACCTGCATCTCAGTGTTGATGTTCACTCTGAAACTCGAATACGATGGCGTTTGAAACTAAAGGTACTGAGTTCGGGTCCCGCAGTGAACATCAATATTAAGATGCAGACACATCCAGCTGACGAGGCCCGAATAGGACGAAACGTGCATCCTGGATTCTACTGCCATTCACTATCCATCTTTGCTTATGATGCTTGTGAATTAAGGCTATGTCGAGGCGATACTCACAGTATGCACATATGCGAATAAGAAACTAACCAATTGCAGTCCTATACATCAATGGGCAGATTCAAACAAACAATGCTTAGTGAATGTAGAAAATATTTGTACAAAATCAAGCAAAATAGAAGAAAAAATAGTATCCAACTCAAACCTTTTAGTGTAAAAAGACACTTGAGCTTCTGTAATCAATTTCAGGTTATATCATCATTTTCGGCTAAAAAAAAAAGAAATGAAGGTCACCTAGTGGTCTCAGAGTACTCAAGACACAGATTAATTTCTAAATGTTGAGTAAATTTTAAAAAAAACTTTGTTTGGAAACATCTATTGATAAACACCATTAAAATATCCATTACGTTTTATCAGCCATTGAATCTATGATAAATGAGAATGAATAGTATTCAATATGTTAGAATTATAATTGTTACCTACTTATTGAAAAGATGTAAACAATCTTACAATCACATTACATAAATCATAATCTATTTAAGAGTGACATACATAGTCGATACAATGAATAGTATACAGTATATTGTAAGTGTAATAGAATCTTATAAATATAGTACATATTGACCATTTAACTTAATTCTTTATTAAAACTCTTCGTATTTTTCATTGATCATTTAGCGTAATATAACTTGGCAATGAAAACTATTTTTTTAGAATTAACCACTTCATGAGAATATTTGTCTACATGTATACAGATAGTGAAATAGATTAATTCGTTTTCACAGTAATATTTTTAGAATGTGCTATTAAATATTAAACATTTATATCCTTACAATTATGTTAGAATTTTAGAACGGGCATCGGCCTCAGAACTTCCGAATAAACTTGACTTTCATAATGAGGCGTCATAACTACTCATTCAACTCTCAGGGCAGAGCTTATCAATGGTTTAAATAACTTTTCTGGTTAGCGTTTTTTTTTAACTATTTAGTTTTCCACGGAATGGAATCGCTGACCTCATGCCCAATCCTCCTCTTTTATCCAGGCTTGGGACTGGCAGTAGCCCCTGAAGGAGATACAGGCGGTGTTCTTATATATATATATAAACAAATCTATCAGTGTGTTCTAATTCATTCATTTCTAACTGTTATAGAGTGACAGCAAAAAACAAAGAGAAGAACGTTCAAATCTCAAAAGAATTTCACAAATTGAGATTTTACTTACTTACGCCTATTATCCCTCGTGGAGGAGCATAGGCCGCACACCGTCATTCGCCATCCAACTCTGTCCCTGTGAAATCCTTTCCAGTTCTTTACAGTTAACATTCATCCTTTTCATATGTGTTTCTATTTCCCGGCATTATTTGTTCTTTGGCCTCCCTCTTTTCCACATCCTTTTAGGATCCCAAGTTAAGGATTACCTCGTGATGCAGTTTGATGATTTCCTTAATGTATGTCCTATCCACTTCCTAATTAACTCTACAGCTGGAAGCTGGTTAGTCCTCTATCATAAAACGAAACCACTGAAAAGAAAATTTTTATTTCGTACTTAAATTTTCTAAATTACAATTCATTTTCATAGTTGAAATCGTGAGTCAATTGAAGCTAAACCACCATGGAAAACTTGGAAGCAGTGGACGGCTCACTGAAGACAATTGGTGAACGGTTGCTCAAGCTTCATGGATTGGTTGAAGTTATACAATAACACTATTGGATGCCGGCTCAGTGGTCCTTTGGCTCTGGCGCAAGACTGATAGGTCCTGTGTTCGAATCTCGCGAGGCGAGGTCATGGATGCGCACTGCTAAGGAGTCTCATAATAAGACCAAACGGCCGTTCAGTGCTTCCAGGTTTTCCATGGTGGTCTAGCTTCAATTGACTCATGATTTCAATTATGAAAATACTGAAATCTCCACAAAACTCCTTCTGATCTACAAATCATTTCCGTAATAATTTAACACATAATTTGTTTGTTTGTTTGTTTGTCTTTCTTTCCTTTTTTGTTTTTAATCGTTACCGTTTCCTTTTTTTAATTTTTTTTTCCAATAGAATATAATACACAATCACTCAGACACGGATAATAAAAATAATTTAACTGAATAAAAGTCATATTCAACATCTATTTATAAATCATTATAATGGAAACATTTATTTGTCCAAATGATAGGCAATTAGCATTACGTGCAAGGTAGGTTCTTTATGCATTTATTATTGTTTGTTGTGGCCATATCTCCTTTATATTTAATATTATCATTTTTCTAAGAATTTAACTAAGATATATATCAATCAGGTTAATGATTGAAGATTGAGAACTTCACTAAGTCATATCAGTTGAACTGGGGAGTCTTTATGTAGAATGAATAGTTTAATGAAAAAAGTATGGATCCTTTTGAAGCAATAAGATGTAAATATGCCAATGAGAGACTGATCAATGACAATCCGAAATATTAATGGAAGAATTTGAACAAACAATACAAAATGAATGAAGACTTCACCACACTCCATAAGATAGTGGCTATTTGAACTCAGTAGCTAAGTGGATAACACGATGACATTTGAAGCGAACGAAGTGAACATCAACTTTGGAATGCAAGTATAACCAACTGAGTCCCAAATAGGACGAAGCGCGCGTCCTAGAATTGACTGTTAGATATCATTCATCTTTGCTTACAATAGATAATAAGTTTAAATTACAATGTGAAAATCAAGACCAGGAAATTTGATAACCTATTCTTTTATTTTAAAAGAGGATGCTGTTATATTACTATTATTAGTGTAATAATAATATCTGAGTAGCCTTTCACTTCTCGACGCATAAATCAAAGTTATTTTGTTGGAAAAAATATTTAAAAAGCTTGCTGGCTTTATAGTATGGCTATTAAAAAGAACCACTTATAGTTAATATATAAGAACTCTCGTCTAAATTAGAGCGAATAGTTTCACAGTATTTGAGCGCCGAGTTGATGTAAGACATTAAATAGGAATAATATATATTTGTAAAATCTCAGCGAATGAATTTGATTATAATTCCTTGAAAAAGCTTGGACCAGATTGCCAGGCAAAATGTTGGATTTACTACAAATTCATTCGCTGAGATCTTACAAATATTTTATTCCTATTTAATCACTTATAGTTAATATTTCAAGACATTGTAGTAGTTTCAAAATGTTATTATGCTAGATGATACCCATTTAAATTTACCTATTTGCTATATTTAGCACTACGAGTTGTCAGACTTTATTCCACTGCTAACTAAAATAAAAATACACTCAAAATTATAACTAAAGGAACTGTTAAAGTAATCCCAATAAACAAAGAAATATTTTAAACTTTTTTACATTAATATTAGAAGGGGTTTTTTATTGATATTATAGTAATTTTATTAGTTGAGATCATGAAACAATTGAAACTAGACCACCATGGAAAACCTAGAAGCACTGGACGGCCATTTCGTCCTATTGTGGGACTCCTCAGTAGTGCTCATCCACGATCCCGCACTGAAGAGATTTGAACCCAGGACCTACCAGAACACTTAACCGAAGGACCACTGAGCCGGTATCCGATGGTGTTAATGTCTAACTCCAACCAATCCACTTAATTGAGCAGCCATTCACCAACTGTCTTCAATGAGTTCCTATCCCACAACAGACGTGGTTCGAATTCCACTGGTCACTGCTTATCACTAGAACTCCTGAATTTACCTCTCGAAGTCAGTCACTAGTGAGCATACGATCATTATTATAATAAGGGGTTTTTGTGGAGATTTATTATTTTCATATTTATATGAAAATAAAATGTCAACTAGACTGGAAATGGAGGGGGTAAGAGAAGACAGGGATAACATTAATGATAATAATAATAATGTGGAAACAATTCGAAACTTAATCAATCTGGATAATAAGCTAATATTACCAGGGTAGGTTTAAGGTGAGAACAAACAGTTTTTGAATAGACAAAAGGGGGTTTGAATTTTCGTATGACTATGGCTTTGATAAACCTTAGTATACGACCTTTTACACTTTTATACAACACATAAAACACAACACTACACAACAAGTATATGTTTGATCAGATTGTTCAAAATGTATTGCATTAATATATCATCGCATAATTCTGATAAACTTCGTCTTCTTATTACACTTACGAAATTTATCAAAGGGACTAATTGTTTTACATTTATATCCATCAAAGTATGGTCTGATTATTCATAAATACTGAACAATTTGTTGCTATGTTACAAATATTTTCATGAATATTCTTTCCACATAATCTCACTTATTATCCTGAGGGTAAACAGAAACACTATGAACTGGGAAAAAAACATGGATTAGAATGAGTGAAAAAACACATTTTTCAAATTATTTTTTTCACCATACGTTTCTTTGCTTGTTTGTTTTTGTTTACGATAATCTCGTAGCATAAACTTAATTATTCCATTTAGTATAAACTCAATATAGGTAATAAGATTGATTACGTTGATTGATTTACTGATGATTTGGCAAAATACATAGATTATGTAATTAGACTAATAAAAGAAATACATGGGTAATTTTGATTATTCAATAATGAATTATACTTACAATTTAATTGAATTCATTGGTAAGTTAAATGAGTAGGCGTAAATTGTCTATTTTTTTAATTATAAGAATGGGGTATTGTGCTGAGGTGCTGATGAGTCCCACAATAGGACGAAGCGGCCGTCCAGTGCTTCCAGGTTTTTTGTATTGGTCTAACTTCAATTAACTCATGATCTAAACTATATTTTTTATTGTTCTCTGTATCTGAGTCTTATTTATTAAACGTGAATTGTGTTTTGATTTATTGTATGATTTTATCATGGTTCATTCAATGTTTTACAATGGTTGTCAATGGAAGAAATGAAAATAATGTATATTTTTCAAAGTTGACTCATAATTTCAACTTTGAAAAATACTGAAATCTCCACAAATCCTCTTCTACATATAATCATATGCTCACTAGTGACTGACTTCAAGATACATGTCCTGGAGTTCTAGTGAGAAGCAGTGACCAGTGGAGTTCAACCACGTCCGTTGTGAGATATCAACTCACTGAAGGCAATTGGTTAATGGTTGCTCAACTTCGTGGATCAGTTGAAGTTAGACATTAACACCGTTGGATGCCAGCTCAGTGGTCTATCGGTTAAGGGCTTCGGCTCGAAATTGGTAGGTACTGGGTTCGAATCCCGCGAGAGTGGGTTCGTGGATGCGCACTGTTGAGGATTCCCACAGTAGGACGAAACGGCCGTCCAGTGCTTCCAGGTTTTCGATGGTGGTCTAGCTTCAATTGACTCATGATTTCAACTTTGAAAAATTCTGAAATCTCCACAAATCCCCTTCTAGATATAATGTATATTTGTAAAGTACTTTTCATTTTGGCAGTTTGATTCAATTTTATGTCATGTATAGTATTTGATTAGAAAACTTTTAGGAGGGGGTATTTTGTTTTAGTTTATTTTACTGTCAAAAATTCATAAATATACCTCAAAATGAACTATAGTTAAGCTGTAAGTAGAATTGGGTGGTCACTAGCAATCAATTTCGGGAAGTGCGTTTCGTCCTATTTGAACTTACCGACCAGATGTACCTGGATCTTGAAGTTAGTGTTCACTGATGAACTCAAACTCAGTACTGCTAGCTTCAAACGCCATTGCGTTATATATACAGATATTAAATAAAACTTAAGTTGGTGTTAATATTTACTGAAAAAAAGTGAATGAATCAACACTAAGGTTGCACTTGATAGTTTCTAATAAATTGAGCATTTGGTGGAGAGTTACTATTTGAATTTGTGTTAATTAAATGTCTGTTATTTATTAACCCTGAAGAATCGCCTTACATTAAGTCACGAAATGTCGGAAATATAATCTTTTTACTCCATGGGAATGAATCAACATTATAAACACAACATGAGCAATATTCTGTCATTATAAAACTTCATATTTCATAGTTGTTTAGTATGAGTAATTTTGAACAATAATCCCATATATTCAAGAGCTTTTATGAGAATTTTACGACCAACAATGAAATTAATTACAGCAAGACGACCATGCATTAAGATAGATGGCAGCTAATACATATAGAATATATATATACATATAGTGGAACTGGTGTTTCGAGTTGTCAGTTGTCCTGATGGTATTTTGCTTGGATGGTTTCTATTAGTTAGTAGTGTATATAAATATATATAATGGATACAATATGGAAGATTGTAACAATATTGAATTTTTTTGCGCAAAATCATTTAATAGTATCAAAGATATGACGCGCGATAATACTTTTATTATTATCATTGTTAAGATGATAAAATAAAAAAAATATTATACGCAAATTCGGATAGTAGCACTTACACAAGCAAGCATTTATCAGGACTCAGTAGCTGAGTGGATAACGCGATGGCTTTTGAAGCGAAAGTTACTGGGTTCGAGTCCCAGAGTGAACATCTGACGAGTCCCAAATAGGACGAAACACACGTCAAACTGTATTCCACTGTTAACCACTATCCATCATTGCTTATAATGCTTGTGTTTTAAGGCTATATCGAGGCAATACGCTCATTATGCACATATATCAATAAGAAATTGATCAATTGCAGTCCTAAACACTAACGGGAAGATTCAAACAAATTATACCATGTGAATTTAAAAAATCTCTTGTTTATCTAAAAGACTATTCCATTATATTATTTTTCCGACATCAACTTTGCATATAGGAGATATGAAAAAACAGAACCAAATATTTCAAAACTAATCAATGTTTACGTAGAAAAATGGTAACTGCTGTCACTTAACAACAAGTACCAATTGAGAAAACGTTGTTGTTAAGATAACTGACCACAGATTTGAGAACTTTTTATTTTTAAATGTAATTAGTAAAATTGAATTCAATTAATTTCAAATCCAAAGATAAAATTTCATCATTGATCATACCTATCTACAACTAAACAGTTTTTGCTTTCTCTAGTGGGCTACTGTAACTACTTTTATACCATTGATCACATTGTAAATAGAAATTGTATATTAAATAAAGTTCTCAGTAGGAATTTTGAATAAAACTTTTCAGCAAAAGAAAATAAGACATAGACAATTTTGCAAAAGAAAAACAACTTCTGTGAATCATTTTTTGAACCTCTAGCCTAATAGCTTACTTATTTATATTAGATATCATAACA